AATATTAAACAAACTAAACACATTCTAAAAGTTGAGAAACGAAAACACATTTTTAAAAGTTGAGAAACTCTTCTATAAAATATTTGTTCTGTCAGAAAACGTTAGACTTTAATGCTAAATGATATATTAGACATATTATAGGAATATCGTTTAAGCTCAAATGTACATTTAAATTTATTATATAATTTCTCTTATGAAGTCAGGCGAGTTCCGGCAGATTTGTAATCGTGAGTAACTCTGGTGTAGACTTCTTTTCATATGTGAGTCATGCGAGTGCAAGTCCTCATTTTTCTTGAACCTGTTTTCATTTTTTTTAATATACAGTGCATTTCTTTAATATATTAATATCTGTACATTTAGAACTTGGAACTGGTTCAATCTTAGTATTTAGCACATGGTTTCTTGTACCTATTTCGGTTGTCTGTAATGCGTATCAATAGTTGGATCTGGTATCAAAATGTTCATAAAGTGTTCATCTTTGGAGTTGTGAAGTTTGATCTACAAAAATCGTTAAACTAAAGAGATAATCGTGTTTATAATATCAATTCTCACAACAATCAGTGTTTTTATAGAGCTAACAAGAAACACTTCTGGGAAAAACTTCTTTTTATTTCATTAATAAATACTGAACCATTAGTTACAAACAGGGTGGCCCAACAAATTTCTAAAACTGTTGTTTCTGAAATATGAACTCAATAAAAACAATGACCAACACTGTCCGTGTGATGGGTCTAACCAATGGATTCATTACAGCTGTGCGATTCTTACCACTTCAGAGGTGGAATTCTAACAACTGCTCGTATCGTATCGGTGCACTCTTTCCTGACTACAGGTAAATTTGTTGGTCCTCGAGGAAAGGATTTGTATAAAAAACATTGGGATGAATTGGCGCATAATCTGAATGATCTAGGATATGGAACAAAACCTACTGAAAAATGGCAAAAGGTAAACCAAAGTCTCGAATACTTAGATTTTTTATAACTTATTAGAGCTTTCGTTTGTAGTCTTGGTATTCATCTAAAGTATTCATTAAAAAAAAAAGGCTGCTGCGTGGGATTAAATAATCTAGAATGTGATGTACCTATATCCCTTGAACCAGAGTCCTGCGAAAATAGTCTTGATGAACCATCAACATCGAAGATACCTTCAACATCAAAAACTATGCCCCAGAGAGATGATAAGGAACCACCACATAAGAGACACAAAATGGACTTCCACAATGAATTCAGGGAAACCATTGAGGAATTAAAAGATATAAAAAATACATTAAAATCTTCCTTGAGCGATATTGCTTCCAATTTGAAAGATGTTGCAAATGAATTGAGAACTTTGAACAGTTATTTGCCGCAGGTAACAAACAACAAATGATATAAATGAATGAATTCAACAAAAATAACAGCTTCTAGGTGGGCAAGTGATTTTTGAAGAAAGTACCTCCCCAGAACTGGAATAGAAAGCAGCCTTCCATTCATGTGGTACCAAATGAATGGTTTTGTTGTACTTCTTCATCATTTTGTGGAATATCACAGATTATTTTTATTTTATTGTTATAGAAAGCTATGTTTATTTTTAGTTCGAATGTACCTGATTTTGTACTGGAGTATATCATTAATAAGTATGATGGAATATTCTCTTTATTTCACAAATAGATAGTTTGGTCCTCATTCAAATCATTGCACAGGTTGGTGAAAAAACTCAAAAAACGACAGAATTACATAGACTTTGCGACGTTCAACATATGCACTGTATCATATACTTGTTTTTTTGAAATATTTGTATGTTGGCAAAAGAAATCAATTTCATGACAATATAAATGTTCCAATCACAACATATTTGGTATAGGTTTACAAAAAAATTACTGGTAATCTGTTTAAATCTGTTTAAAATCTGTATTTCCGTTAACCAGCTGTCGCACCCCTACGAACGACAACCCTCAAAAGTCGAAACTTGTGCGATCTAAGGATTAACGAGGTCTTACCTTTTACCTCATTCCTTCTACAGCAAATTGTCCTTGATTATTGAGTGGTTCTACAATCAGGACGTCACCGTTATCATTGTCTGGATCACCTACGTTTTCATCGATGGGTATGTTTGCATCCACACACATATTGTGTATCTCAAAGTACACTCCTTCAAAAGACAGTGAAATCTCATTTTTAGGATGCCAAAACATCTTTCGATGCAATTACTTGCTCTAATGTGGGCATGATTAAACCTAGATTCGGGACTATTTTCAAGGGTGAATGAAAAGTTTTTATTGAATGTAACTAATAACAAACAATTAAAATGAATTTTAGAATTTAAAATCAAATATGGTGACTGCATTAAGTTTTTACGCCGAGGCGAGGCGAGGCGAGGCGAGGCTTCAATCTACTATTAGGATCAAGGAGAGGAGAGTGCTTTTTCAGAATATATGAATGGAAAAATTTGGAGAGCAACTAGAAATTTATTATTCGGCCTTCACATGTGGTATTTGTGAGAAGTAATTTCGTAGTGATGTAAATTCAAGTGATCTGAAGNAATATATGAATGGAAAAATTTGGAGAGCAACTAGAAATTTATTATTCGGCCTTCACATGTGGTATTTGTGAGAAGTAATTTCGTAGTGATGTAAATTCAAGTGATCTGAAGATATCTATATAGCAGTGTGTATTATTTTGAAATAGTCTTTTTGAATGATTCTATAGTTACAGTTGTTCAGTGTTGTACTACTCATATTCTGAACTTCACATAAATCATTTTTCTTTATGGTTAGTTGTAGGTTTGTATGGACATTTTTCACATCCAGGGGTATTTACATGTTTCTCTTAGGTATATTTACGATAGGTCAAATCATTACTATAAATGTCATTCTGCAAGGTGAATAAATGAATCTTCATCAATGAAAATTAATTTTTTTGAAATGAAGAAAAAGTTTTATGGTACCTATTCGAATAGCAAATTCAATACCTATATTATTTGAAAATAATGAAATTAATATTAATATAATATTCTCAGTATTCATTGAACATTTCGTTCTTTATATTTTACTTTATTCGTGCTTTTACAGATTTTGAATAAGTAAAACACCTTCTAGGAGGGTAATTACCCCCTTTTCCTAAAATTTTGGCTTCTACACTATTCCAGTAATTTCGCACACGTTGATTGGACCGACAACAATTAATAGATACATTTTACCTCAAAAACTTTATCTGAAAAGAATCATTTTAAGTTTGTTACTAAAATCTGGGAAAACTTTGGAATGGCAAATATTCGCACTTCGATCAAGTCGGTTTCTCGTCTCCATCCAAAATTTCTTCTTTCATAAAGGATTCCGTGTAGGTATTGTGAAAGTTTCAGTTTGTTGATACTTCGTGGTATGGAGAGAAACAAATCCTTAAAAGAACCGAATCTACCGATGAATGCCCACAGAGTATGCCATAAGTACACTTCTACATAGATTTTAACTGATCGACAAAAACTGTCCACAATCTTGGGATGGATTATGTCCGTCATTTCATTTACATCATCGTGTAAACTTTTTAAATATATTTGAGTAACTTTGGACGTCTTGCTGCAAATGTCCGTTGGAATGAGGGGTAAATTTTTGGATTTGACTATTGAAACTGTGTTCACCATATATAAATATAATATCATGAATGAAATTAAGAATCAAATGGAAATCTTCTGTTTCAAATGAGAAATCAAGTGATATAATATTCAAAATGTGTGAAATTATATCTGGGTGAATATTTAGAAGAGCTGAAACGGCTAGCCTGCCTGCCTTCTATTATATACAAGTTTGGTGACAAACAACTTTTTACACGCCTTAGTGTAAAAAATATGAAATAATAATAATATCAAATATCTTTCAGACGTTACTGATCTTATAGCTGCCTAAATTTCAGCAGCCTTTATATTTAAGTTGAAATTGTCGCCGTAAACATCTATTGTAGGAATCGTACAACTATAGAAGTTATTCTTAAACCCCAGTGAAAGCAGTAATGCTCAAGAAATGGAAATGGATTTTCGATGCTTTATTCAGATTAAAAAGGACTTCCTATGGTCATGGTATTCGCATAATGTCGATTTTTTAGATCAGTCGTTATACATTCTAGATGAGGAATACAAATTTTCTTACGAAAATATTACTTATCATTTCCGTGATAATTATTTTGACGAGTCTGCCAAGTAACTGTACGAGGCGTCTCAATGATTGTATCTAGTTTTTTAGATAAGTCTCAATTTTGACAAGTCTCAGCATTTTCCCGTTTATGTTTAGAAGCATCCGATACTATTTTTGAATCTAACGTTGTTTTTGTATACAAACACTTGTCGAAACACAAATAAATAATTGACTGTTATCTAACGGTAATGGAACAATCAATCATAACTGCACCCGTTAGCTCTGATGTAATGTAACATATTTTTCAAAATTATTTTAAATACCTATTTTCAATTAATTTTTCAACCAGAAAGTTAATGATTCATTAAATTTTTATAAAACGTTTTTCATGTACAAATTTGGAGGAGGGACGATTTTGGATCATGACTTTCATGTCCACCCCCAGAAGGACTACCTATACATTTTGATGGAATTGTTTCACAAGTAACGTTTATACCACTATATATGGTGTTCTTTAGAACAAAAAAGTGTGTGTCCTTAACGATTTTCCACAGATTGAATTTTTTCGAAAAGTGGAGGTAAGCAATCACAAGAAAGACGTAGTCCGGTAAGGAATAAATTCCCGGTTCACTGATATTAATTAGTTCATCAAACAATACTCTTCTGTGTAATACTGTTTTGCAGATAATATAATTCTAAAAAACACAGTTCTGACATTTTATAAAACAGTGACTATGTATATACTTATACTCAGTGTAAAAAATTTAATTTGTTTAATATTCAAATCTCTATAAATAGATCACAAATAGTCAGATAATTTTCCATCGACTGAAACAAGTGTTTTGAAATAAGAAAAATAATTACCTACTCATTAAAGAAATGCAGTAAATGATAATAAATATTAGAACCTATATTGAGTAAATATACGTTTTATTTTCAATACTCCAATTAATCACATAATTCAACTTAAACAATAAGCAAATCACGGTAAATCTGGAAAAATATATTTTTTGTGACTATTTTTCAATTAGGTACCGAAACCATTCAAAACATGAAATGTAACAATCATCAAAAGGGGCGTATCCAATAGGTACCCATTTCTCAACTACCGTAAAAGAATATATTTATGTGCCGCTGGTACTCGAACCATGGACANCGATTCACCAGACGACTGTGTAGAATTCCAGAGCAAGCTGAACCATAGTTTTTAGTCGAGGATCTAGAAGTGATTTCGAATTGAAGTGAAAGTAACCAGGTTAAAAATGCCACAAAAACAGAGGCATCAGTTTTCTCCTAACCGGATATAATAATGTCAGGACAGACACCTCCGCTTTCTGCTTCGATAAGTTTGTTGGAGGTTGAGAATGGATACCAATATGTCTTGGCACTATCATGTTGCTGGAATTGCGAAGGCTGCTCCTCAGAAGCTAGGAACACTGTTCCGAAACAGAGAACTGTACACACCCCAGCAACTTTTGATGCTTCATGAAGCTCAAATCAAAACTTTTTTGGGGTATTGTCCTCATGTATCCCTGAGGATACCGTGAAACTGCTGGATTCTATGCAGGAAAGAGCCATCCGCCTGATTGGAGATACGTACATTACTTGCCCTCGATAAAGTGTAACATCGAAGAGAGCTTGGAGAGTTGTCTCATTTCTAAAGATACTTTTACGGAAAGTGTTTGAGTGACTTGGCAGAAGATATAAGAAATACGCGAAATATGCTGCCCACTGCCTGAGAACTCCTCCATTTGGAGAACTGCGTTTATGTTGGAATACACTTCCTGAGAGCGTTTTTCCGAATTGATTTAATCTTGAGTGATTCAAATCCAATATGAATCGGATCAATACAGTTACTTCCTTTCACTGACTGAAACACAACCAAAACACGCTACAGTATAAATTTGTAAGAGAAAAATTGCAATGTTATACGCATACGTGTCTAACCGTGAAACATACGATAAAAGATGCAATCCTCTATGAAAGTGCGTAATTTTGCGGGTTTTCACGTCGAATTGGCACCGCTCCCCTCAAGTCCACTTCACTATGTCATAATAGTTAAATTATTTCGTATCGTAACGGCAAACACATTTTTAGAAGAACCTTTGCTCTTCCCTGACAGTTTCGTTGAGCAGATCATAGTTTGTGCTAATACTTGCTGCTCAGCGAGTCATTTACTGTAACTGGAGATCACGTGGCGGTCATGTTATTTTCTCCCAAGATAAGTCACTTTGACATCCAGATGTAAATTTGCTTTAATTTATGAACTGAACTCTTGAGATGAATATTTATGCATTTGTCTATACTAAATTTCACACTGTTTGGTTTCAGTAACTAATGATTGTTCAAATGAAGTTACTAAGCAAATTCTGATGAGTTTTACTTAGACTAAATTCAGTACTCCTACAGAAAATGGCAGTAAGATCCACTAGTTGAAACAACAATAGATGAGTGGATTATATATCATTTTATATTATACATTCTTCATTTTTTTGCGATGAAGCTTATTACGTTATCCGTAAAATTTTAGAAAAACTAAAAGGTAGGCAACCAGGAATACATTTCAATTATCTTTCATATCGCTACGAGAGCTGCTGCCATCATCGATGAAACAAGAAAACTTTTTGTTTGTAGCGATAAGAACTATCGGGTACAAAAAAAGGATTGGAGAGTTTTTTTTTATTCAGAAAATGGCTCGAATGTCTTGAACGCTGAATTCTGTCGATTGAATATTTTACGCTTAAGGCGGTTTCAATTGAATAGTGTTCCTTTCGACAGTGATATTTGGTTGAATAACTCGTCGGATCAGAATATCAACTGTCGATTTGTCTCTGCGGAGGATTTCAGATATCAGTGCTTTTTTGTTTATGGAAAAGGAAGTCAACGTCTCGCGATTATTAGGAAATCGGTAATCGGAGGTGAGTTCTTATGATTTCACTGAGTTGAATAGGTTTCCTATGTTTCATACAGCTCTTATTCCTATAATAAAATCACTACAATCATAAATATGATTTTCTAGGCGTTTTATATCATTCGCAGGTCGCAATACCGTAATATTCATGGTCGCCTTCTAAGGATATGATTAAGGGAGTGAACACCCGTTCCAGGAAGTGCAG